TGCTTACTATCCAGAGCAACATGCTGCATAACACCTTTGAATAACCCATATGAAAGGAATTAATACTGCCAGGGTTGGATAGTTGAAGTTAAACTGAGACTCCAATTTTTCTAGTTTTGAGTTAAGTGGGAAAGGATAAGAACATCTTTGATATTTGCTCTTACTTTCTATCCTGGTTACCATTGTGTTCTGTACAGAAAGTAAGGTAAAATCCAAAATGTTGCATCTGTCCCCTGAACAGGAAGAGACAGGTGAGAGGAAATCTCTTAGGGTGGACATACTCTCCCCAGAGTTTTAGAGTATTATCTGGAAACACCATAAAAATGCATCCCTCAACACACAAACACATAAGAAAAACCAATAAGAAAGGGAGAAAAAGAAAAGAAAAGAAGAAAAAAAAAGAATTAAGAAAAAGAAAAAAGATAGGAAAAAGAAAAAAAGCGAGGAAGAGGGTCTTCCCTAAGCATTGGTCTCACAGCTTATAGTCATATCCAAGACCAGATCAGGCCACAGCTGTCACTCCCATATATCGAATCCATGGTGACCAGGTCAGTTCAAAACTCTCTTCAGAGTCCATAAGTATACTCTGCATCTTCTCGTGTATCATCATCCGGCCTCCTCTCTCGTCCTTCACCACCGCTCGGGAATCAAAGATGGCCCCGCTACTTCGTTCTGCTCGGGGGGGTAAGTCCGATCCGTCTAGGCGCCGAGCTTAGGACTCAGCCGTCCTTCCTCGAGCTCCGCGCATGCGCCATGCAAGAACCGTGAGAGGAAATCTAATGGGGACACTGTTGTGTTGCCAACTGTCAAAAGTGAGATTTCCTCAACTTTGAAATATTACCTTTTGCTTCCTGTTTTGTTTTTTTCTCTCTAGCACTGGAAGGGACATGAAATCTTTCCACATGGTTTGGGCAGGTTCTGGGACCCCTCCCAGTGTCACATAGGCAGGGGAGAAGTGGTAGACGTTTTCTTGATGCCATTACTGTGTACCTGGTTTGGGTATCCAAGTGGTGGCCAAGCAGCAGGCACATCCTTGACTCCCTGTCTGATGGCAACTGATACATAAAGAATGCTTCTCTCATTTCTTTCTTCATGATACCACTTGGACTGGAAATGAAGGGGATGTTTAACTGCGTGGCAACAGTTACATATTATCAACTAGAACCCCAAATCCACAACCTCAAAAAAGTAGATTATTACATGCAATCAATAAAACAAGGATTGTACATAGAACAATATCGGACCTCTGAAAAATACAAGCATGCATATGTACTCAGTACTTGGTTTGGGCCCCTTTTGCAGCACTTACTGCAATTACTTTTGCACGATATTCTAATTATTCGAGTTTCACCTGTATATATATATATATATACACAGTATATACATCCCCATCCTGAAGTGGTTATACTAAGATCATGGCGGCAGCGGCTGAAGTCTGATCATCTGTATTGGGGGGCAGGAGGTACATCAGGGCTCTAATAGACCCCTGATGTCCACGTAAAGAGAACATGTCACCATGCAAACTCTATCACATAGGGACTTGTTAGCCCCTGTGTGATAGCACTAAAGGTAAGTCATAAATTTAAAAAAAAGTATCACAAATTTAATAAAAGTGATACATTTAATAAAGTGATGAAAAAAGTAAAAGATTAAAACCAACCATGCTGCCCCCACTATTTGCATGCGAATAAGCACGCTCGGTAGGGCATGCACGTGTGCATAAACAAATGTTGCCACACATGTTAGGTATCACCGCGAATGTCAGCGTGAGAGCAATAATTATAGGGCCATAATTCACTGTTAAAGGATAAAATGTTGCCCCCCCCCACCCCCATATTAGTGTAAGGACTTACCTTAAATGATCCCTCTTGATCCGATCATCTTCTTCTTTCCTGTGATTTTCAGCTGTCCCTTCAGTGCTGGTGCCGGTCTTGGATCCAGCGCTGACTCCTCTGTCTTATCATTCGTACCAACGAGGACCAGGAAGGGGAAAAAAAGAAATGGTAAAGTAAAATAATAATATGATTTTTTAGCTAATGAATGTAAAAAGGGGCCCATACACTCCCCCATTTTCATTTGGAAATTGAACATGAACGTGGTTTCCAAATGATAGTCAGTTGATGGGAACCCAACAAATGTAATGACTGTACTCTACTCCTGGCCAAACTGCCTCAAATTGGTCAAGCTGGAAAACTTTTTTCAAAATCGAGAAGAAAAAAATACAATTATTATTGCAGCAAGAACACTGCAAATGCGCCAATGATAAGCCGTTATGTCGATCGACAAAATTTGGTGAGTTAGTATTGCTTACGAACGATTAATCGAAATTAAATTGGTCTGTGCTTGATGAGCTATTTGAGCTGAAATCGAAAAAAAAGTTCTTGGCAGCAACGAAAATTTCAGATCCAAAATCTATAGGTGTATGGCCAGCTTTAAAAAGAGGGTAAAGGTCCGCTTTAAGACAACTGTCCTTTAAAGTGAAACTGAACGAACATACATACATACATACATACTGTACATACACTTTTCTGGACCAGATACTGGCACTTCCTGTCCCACGGAGTCTGTGTGGGTGCACGCTGCTGCATTTACTTACCTTGTGTCTCTCCTCATCTCCTGGCCGAAGGTCTGAACTACGCACGTGCCTGCCCCAAGATCCTGTGCGGCTGCCCGGATCTCTTCAGATGTTCGGACAGGAGCATGCGGCGAAGACACAGGTAAGTTTAAACCTGTTTGAAAAGTTTTTTTTTATGTTTTTGCATATATCTACTGCTTGCTAGCAATAGATATATGCAAAAACCGTTTAGGGATTAATAACTCATTAATTCAAAACTGATGAGCAGTAAAGCATCTATGGACAATTTTAAGTACCATCGTTTTTCACCATTGCACGGCTACATGCAATTTTAATGCATGGCATGTTTGGTATCTATTCACTCGATGTAACCCTATCTTTTATTTTTCACCAACAAATTGCGTATTGAATTGGGTTTGTGTGCACTAAAATTCTGCTTTCAGAAAATATATAATTGTTGGGGGTTTAAAGTAATATGTGTGTGAAAAAATTAAAAAATTGCTCCAGTACTAAGGTTAAGATTGTAATAAAATAGCAATAACAGTTCTTGTGTCAATCTCATAATATTTCAACAAACACATGTAACAATTGCAGAAGGGCAGATTTCTCTATAACTGGAAAGATAAACAGCAACCACAGATATGCACAACAAAAATAAAAATAAAAACATTATTTGCTTGTGCATGTCTGCAGTCACAGTTTATCTTTGCAGTTATGGAGACATCTGCTCTTCTACAATTGTTACACATGTTTGTTAAAATATCAAGAGAACCGTTATTGCTATTTTATTATAATCTTAACAGGAATCTCTTTTGGGTTAGTGTGTAAACCGCTGTACTACAAACCAGTCCTATTTTACTTTGATGAATATTGTGCCCTATCGCAATTATTTTTTGTCAACATAATCTGTTCTTTGTACGTTTTTCCTTCATAAAACCAAATAAACCTTTTGTTAAAGAAAAAAAAGCTGAAGTTCCACTTTACTAAGGGCTTGTGTCCATGGGCAAATTTAGCTTGCATTCGGATGCATTCCACTTGCACTTGACATCAGTTTAAACACATCTGAGATCATTCAGAATTCATTGACAGGTGAATTTGACCTGCAGTTGGCCTCCTTTGACCTGTATTGGATCTTCTAAGCTGCATCAACCTTCTTTTGCATTCTTATTGAAATGAGCCACACAGACTTCTCAAAGATCACTTTCTATAGTAGGCACAGGAGGGCTATGTCCTAGGTGCCAGAAGATGCCCTATGTCACATTGAATCCTGCAGTGTGTCATAGATATAAAACTAGGGATGCACCGATACTAGTATCGATGCTGATACCGAGTATTTGGGGGTGACTACTCACCCGAACGCTCTGATACTTACCCCCGGTACCGGAACTTCTCGGCCAATCAGGAAGCCGGGCGGCTTCACTTCCCTCGTTGCGACATTGTGGGGGCAGCCTGGCTTCCTTACCAATCACGTAATTACCCGCCACCAAGCTTCCTGATTGGTCAGGAAGACAGGCTGCCTTGCGAGGGAAGTGAAGTCAGTGTTCATTCGATAGAACGCTGGCTTCCCAGGTAATCAGGAAGCTGCCGGCTTTCTGATAATCCGGGGCCATGGATTTTGAGTAGTGATGAACCTGGGCTTGGTTTCCCTATGTCTGCTCAATACTATGATTGGCATACCCCCTTCCCGGGCCAATCAGTTGCGGCAGGCGCATTTCCCACCCTGCAGCTATCCCTCAAAGAGGGGTGGGGAATGCCCCCGTCACAATTGCCATTACTGATTGGACTAGGAGTGGGTGGGTGGTGGTCACACTTTTGACCAGGTTTGGGCGCACCTATGTGAACTGGGTTCGCACCAAGCTCAGGCTCATCACTGAGAGGAGTACTTAGACAGGGAGTTGTTTTTTCAAGAAGCTATGTACAGCACCCTGCCAGCCCCTCCCACCAGCTATGACCTGCCTTAATTACATAGAGAAGGACAGATACCCATTGATGACAGGATCTAAAGTAAGGTATAGAATTAAAATGGACTTAAATAAAATATATAATTTGCATGTTGATGAGGGAAGGGGGGAGGAAGAACCAGGGAAAACAAAAAATCTAATCTAAAGTAAGGTATAGAATGAAAATGGACTTTCAAAAATATATATATAAATTGCATGTTGATGAGGGGAGGTGGGAGGAAGAACCAGGGAAAACAAAAAATCTAATCGGATTAAACTTCAGCTTCCAGTGAAAGCCCTGTTCCCATCTGGAGAAGCAAACTGTGTCCACTGCTAAAGGCATGCAGAGGATGCCTTCCGCTATGAAGCACATCGCAGCTGCTGCAAAGAGCAGAGCCAATAGAAGGTTCCGCTGCCTGCAGCCATTAGCAGACAGCATAGCATATTTCCATTACTCAAGCTGAAAGAGAGGTTTTGCTAGAAGGCAGCTGATTTGCAGGGAGGCCGGAGTTGTGGATCCAGTGCAAACACTGGCACATTGACATGTATAGCCGGGGAGCAGGGAAGCTGCAGAGACCGGTGTGTGCACTGCAGCTGCACAGGTGAGACTTCTATTACTATTGCCTCCGCTCCGGACAATTGGATTGTGTGTGCAAGAGACGCATGTCATGAATGGATTAGAACATTCAGCCGGTAATACATGTGTATACACTGCAGTATATACTATGTGCACTGCTAGATGGAACGTGTCTGCATGCTTAGATCATACATTCGGTTTGTAATGCAGCCCAAGCTACTGAATTAATTTAAATTTGTGACTGAATTAAAACGTTCCTGGGTTATGACAAATGTTAATATCACCTCTGTGCTTTATGGGAATCCTACAGGCATTTCGCACTGGCATGATTGCAATGATTAATCTGTATATTTCGGATACAATGTTGCAAGCTTTGGTGCTTGTAACACACCTGACACTGTTTATTCATTGATAAATATATGAGTGGCTGTGTTTTGTATGGTTTTTATTGCATGCATCTCTGGACGATATTGCACACATCATTTCATGTCATTCCCTGTGGATGAGATATGCTTATCCTCTCCATAATGTCATCTAAAATTTAATGTGACCCTATAGATGAGAGGATGGCTGATGCTATGGGGTTGGTGATCAGTGACAGCTGGAAAGTTGAGTTGACATTTCCCCTATTAATGCGGAACTCCCCTTATCAGAGTGCAGAGCTGTCATTGGCATTTCCAGTCATTTCCCCATGCAGCAAAGCCCTGGGAAATCCTCTGTGTACCTCCACAATGACAGGGAGGGATGGGGCTGCTCATGGCAGACGATCCTCCTACAGATGTCTTCATAAACTTGTTAGCCCGGTTCCGATTAACCCCTGTGGTAGCATGCATTGCGTTAACGTCATTGACCTTCCTGGCTTCTCTGGACACGTTGCTCTATATAGAGAACGGATTACATAAGGGATATGTGCAGCAGACAAGTCTTATTGATCGGTTTTGTCAATCAAATAGGTTCATCTTGAAGACTGTCTTAAGGCACTGGCCTGACCTGCAAGGCTTTAGTTTTCTGCAGATAGCTATGCATTACACTCCAGAAGACGCAAGTAATGCTTAAATACAAGAGCCATGTGCATTCTTACTAGAATCTTGGTGTTATTTGTGTATTTCTTGCAGTAGCTTCCTGTAATAAAGACCAGTCACTGCTGCCCTTTCTCCTTGTGTAGAGTGACTGGTCTTGTATCCCCCCCTTGTTTTCTGCAGGCAGCCTGTAGTGTATGGAACCTGCTGTGTCCCTCCCACAGCTCTGCTCTCTGCACAGGCTTTGTGCAACACAGTGATGTCAATGCTACTTTTATATAGTAGTTTTGTGGTTTACATAAAGTGGATTTATATCCTATGTTGCTTTTGAGGAATATATTTCAGTTTTTGTTTTTTGTGCCTGCAGTTTAGCTTTAAAGGATAATTATGGAGAGAGTGAAATAAATGCACATCCCCATAATTAGAAGCGACCTGTGACAGTGGAGCTGTCACATACTGGCTCTATTGATAGAGAACGGAGTGATCAGTCACCACTCCCGCAGGAATTCCGCCTCCCCTCTCTGTTCCTTCAGTGCTCAGTGGTGGGACAGACAGGGGAAGGGGTGGACGCATCTGGCTTTATAGCGGTAGAGCCAGCTGTCAATAAGGCAGTGGGGTGGATCCTGACAATATTGTCAGGATTTTTCCCGGCTGCAGCACGGCTCTACACTGTCAGCATTTAGCAGGCAATAGCCAACTGTATGCTGAGTTTGGGTCACAGGAGGACATTTCTAATAAAGGTGTAAAAAAAAGCCAAAAAAAGTATGGCCATAGTTCTCTTTTAAACTCCCTCCACAGTATACAGTCTAATTGTACAGTCTACTTTAAAATTGCCCAAACTATGCAAGATGAGGACAAACCAAAACAATCCATTGAATTTGTATCATATCAGGCTGGCCCTTGCACTACATAGTTGATGGTACATTTTTAAAGGATAGCACAATCAGATTGTATAGTGTATGGTTAGGTTTAGATTTATCAAAACTATGTAATATGAAGACCTATCTAATCTATCCAGTGAATTTTATACCTAGTCAAGCAGGTTCTTCTACGATATACTTTTTGGTAGATCTAAAAGAGATTGTACAGTCAGATTGCAAAGGGTATGTTGAGCTTTGTTCTTGTTTCACACCTTTGCATGTGTGACAGTGCATGCAGGGGTATACACATTTTATGTGTTTAGGCAGCCCATTCATTTCAATAGACTGCCCTATGCTAGACAATTGCACCAAAATACATGGAGGGGAATTTATCAAACCTGGAGCAGACAGAATGTGGAGCAGATGTGCATGGCAACCAATCACCTTCTCTCTTTTATTTTCAAAGCACATTGAACTGAGAAGCTGATTGTAATTATCCTGATCAGACAATAATCATCTTATGCCTGTGGATAACTTTACCGAAGTTGCAAACCAATACCAAAACCAGTTAGTAAAAGGGAAATCGCAGAATCATTCTAATAACATTAGTTTTTCTGTTAAGAGCTTTCAAGGTGTTTATATTACAGAATCTTGTGGATGAGGACACATTTTAAATCTGAAGTCCATATACCCATCGCCCTCGTAACCACTCTTCCATAAAAGTTAGGTGGGTACAACAGCTGTCGTCGGATGGCCACCGTCTCTGTACTTAAGTAGAAATATGTACACCCGCATTTCAAAGGCAAGTCAGATATGTCTATTTATTGACGTACATGCAGTGAGTGTGTTATGCTATGCTGCATGCACGTCAATAAATAGACGTATCTGACATGCCATTGGAATTCCGGTGTCCATATTTCTACATTTTTAAAGCTGGTCATGCGCTGTACAATAAGCGTTGTAGTGCAAGGGCCAGCCTGAATAGATACAAATTGAATGGATTGTGTAGGCGTGTCCTAATATTACATATTTTTGGTAAATCTAAAGATTGTACAATCAGATTGTATAGGGTATGGTTAGCTTTTGAGATTGGTGCTGTTTGGTCATTAACTCTTTTATATAAAACATGGGTTTATCAAAACATTATTACCCCTGTAAGATTCTGAATCTTGATTCTGGCAGTAAACATTGTGATCTGGCAAAAAACTATATTGCCAGGTCAAAATGATTTGGACATTTGCTGTCAGAGTCAAGACTCAGGATCTTAGGGGTTAAAGGGACTCAGTGTATAGAGATGGCTCAGTGTATAGCTGGTTGAATGCCGTTTACATGCCATTCCTGCCACTAGCCGAGGAACATAGGGATTTCCTATGCTCCCTGGCTCCATCTATTGGGACTAGGGATGCACAGATACTTTTCGAGTACCAGTGCAGATACTTGGCATTTTCATGAGAACTACCAGGGTTGCAGCGGTTGCAGCTGGGACCAGGCTCTGGTGCTCCACCACTGTCCTGAAATCATTAGTCTGTATTGTTTTAGAAAAACTGACACATGACAATAAACAAAAATGTATCAGTACTCGTACTCGCAAAACTGGTATCTGTGCATCCCTTTATTTATGTTTATGAAAACAAAATCATACATTAAAACAGAGATGTACAAATCTCGGGAGCTCCGTGTGCTCCTTACAAATGACAGCTGCCTCCTAATTTTTGAATTTTTCTCTAGTGTAGTCTTGGAGCTCAAAAGTATCCGTACATGTACTCGTACTTGTACCGAGTACTGTACTTGGTATCTGTGCAACCAGTGGTGTATCTTGGTTTTGTGCTGCCCTAGGCAAGACTAAACCCGAGCACCCCCCCATACCTAATCTAAACTAGTCACACCCCTTCCTGTTTAAGACATTTTGCATAACCTGTCAGTTGCGGGATACAGCGTGCACGGTGTATATAGATTCCGACAGGTTGTGCTATCAACGTAGCTGGACGCTCTAGTTCTACCTTTGCAATAGCTGCCTTCTCTATTCCTGGCTTGATTGGCTCCCTAGCTCTGCAGCTGCAACACCGATCTTTTGAAAGTGCCGCCCTAGGCAAATGCCTAGTTTGCCTTGCAGTAGATACACCCCTGTGTGCAACCCTAATTGGGACTATTGATGTGTTAGAGGCATTCCCTAGTGTTTTTTATATGCCCATGTTTTTCATCCACAGATTTAATAAGCAGATTCCAAGATTCAGGATCTTACAGGGATCATGGGGCTGATGCATAAATGTTCACCCAGTGTATAGCTAGGTGAATGCCGTTCACACGCCATTCCTGCCACTAGATTGAGCCTATGAGTGCAGGAATTTCCTATGTTCCTCGGCTCCCTCTAGTGGCAGGAATGTTTTGATACACACATGTTTTTCAGCCACAGATTCTTATCAGCCATCAAAGTAGTTTTCCTGTATACACAGGGCCATTGTCAATAGATATAGTCTACCCTGCCAATGTGTTTGTATCTTCAGCCTATCTGTGACATGTTTCAATTGAGATGTTGCAATATGTCGTTATACCCAACAAGATCCTGAATCTTGATTCTGGCAATAAATATTCTGATCTGGCAACAAAAAAACTATATTGTCAGATCTAAAGGATTTGAACATTTACTGCTAGGCTCAAGATTCAGGATCCTACAGGGGGTTATAGGAGCTGATTGCCCAGTGTATAGCTGGGTGAATGCTCCTCGTGCGCCATTCCTGCAACTAGATGGACCTGAGGAACATAGGGGTTTCCTATGCTGCTTGGCTCCACCTAGTGGCTGAAATGTTTTTGATGCACCCATGTTTTTCATCCACAGATTCTGATCAGCCATTGGAAGCATTTTTCCACCATACACAGAGCAATTATCAATAGATCAAGTCTAAAATGATCTACCCTGCCCCTGTGTTTGCATCTTCAGCCTATCTATATGCTTCAGTTTGTCATTATATTTGCTGGCGGCCACTTTGAAGCAGAGCATGGAATGGGGTTCTGTACTGAAAGGATCCACAGATGGAAAAATCCTAATTATAATCAGCTTTATGTCTACAAGTGGTGCTTCAGTTTACCTCTTCGTATATTTTAGAGAACATTGACATAACAGTAAAGTGAAAGGACTAATTCTATCT